TTTCCCTAGTCCAAACCCCTGATACCTCTTCAAAAAGAGACTGATTCAGAGACCCAGAAAATGGTGCTTACTAACTACATGTTCCCTCAACAGCCAAGGACTGAGGATGGTAGGAATTTAAGAATCTCTTTTCTGTTAAAAAACAAATACAAATTACGGCAAAGGTGTAAAGTGAATTTTAAGTCTCAAAGACTTTTACTAATTTGAAGAAAATTTGGAGAATTGGTTAATGAAGTTCTCTGAAAATGGGAAAAAGAGGCAATATCTCAGCATTATAGATAGTTGAATTTAGAGGTATGTGTATACCATATGTTTCCTTAAATGACTCCTTTGATTTTGTTAGATGCATTTTAGTGTGGGAAAGGCTTCAACAGGAAAGTATAAGTTTATAGTATTCTGATTCCTTTTAGAGTTCATGTGTTTTTTAAAGTATTTCACTGTGGGTATTATAAGGAGAGCACTATAACTAGTGTACTTATAATACTGAATCAGAAACTACATTTGGTATGGTTAGGCAGGTGAATTTCCTTTCAACTGCAAGAAAAGCTTTTTCCTTTATCACAGTGTCTCTAAGAAATAGATGAGTCAGAAAACAATGTCCTTGAGGTGGAATTTTTTAATACTTCACATTTAGTTCATTCCATTTTTATTACCACCTATGTGCCAGGCATTGTGTTAGATCTAAGTTTTTGGTCTTTGTTGTTGTTGTTCTTGGCCGCGCCACATGGCATGTGGGACCTTAGCTCCCTGACCAGGGATCAAACCTGCGCCCCCTGCATTGGGAGCGTGGAGTCTTAACCACTGGACCGCCAGGGAAGTCTCAGATCTGAAGTATTTAAGATCTTAAATCCTTGCTTTCAAGAAGCTTATGATGTAAGAGGGGGATAATGATGAATAAATTTGAAAGAAAAGGCATGGTATCTTGAGCCTAGTTAGAAGAATCAGTCTTAAACAGGAAAAAGGTGAAGTATGGATCCACCTAACAATAAATTTATAACTGAGGAAAACAAGGTATCGGGGAGCAATATCAGTGTGAGGGTGTTCATTGCATTTATTTTCTCAGTGAAGTCAAAGAGAAAATTGCCTCTAAGACTGGGGGAAGGGCATTTGAGGGAAGTGGTAGTGATTTGGAGTGGCAGAGCAGACTGACTTAGAATAAATAGAATTCCTGAGCAGCATTGAAGATGGAGCAAGGAAGAGGGAATACCATAAATTTGCAGTGGTTCTAAGCAACAAGGTTATGTCATTTTTCTCTGGTTAAATTCCAGGGCAAAGAAGGTAGGTGATTGAAGTACCACGTTACGGACTTATTGCATAGGTATGACTTAAGGAAAGGGGGCAAGAAAGGTGAGAATGGTGGAAATAATATATCATGAAATCTAAGGTGAATAGAGAAGGAAATAAAACCTAGAGTGCTTTTACAGGAAGAAAAAGAAATGAGGTTAAGGAACTTGATGTTTACCAGCAATAATAAGGAAGTGAATGATTTAGAAGGACAAGTGTAGTGGTCAGGGAGGTGGAAAAGTATTACAGAAGCTAAGGTCTTGAGTATTACCGTGATTGTGAATCACTTGGGTGAAATGCAGATGGACATTGGAATTGAGAGCATCGAGGAATTATGAATAGGGTTGAGGTGGGGTCATCGCACATTTTCATCATTCAGGATTTTGGCAGGTCGTAGATAGAGAGAAAACATTCTAGGCAAATACAAGAGTCCTCAATGAATATGCCAGTGTGATCAGATCTAGTGGCATCTGAAATGCAGAAAAAGTGATGTTACTACCTGATGCCCTGAATCGCAAAAGATGTGAGATTTACACTAAAGCGTAGAAATTGTAGGTGACCAGAAGTTGACAGGAGTGAGAGGCATGGTAAAAGTTTTCTTTGGGGTTCTGAAAAAATTCTGGTGTAAAATTGCTTTGATGTAACCTAAAACCCTTAGAGATCTCTGGGCTAGGCTGGTGGAGTCTTAACCCCCATCCCCACCCCCAGTACATAATGAACAGTATTGAAATTTGGAAGATTATTTCCGAATGCCAAACCTTGAATGAAATAATTTATATATTACCATGTTACTTTTTGTAGGGAACTGAGGGAACTGCACAAAATCACATATCTATAGTGTTTTAATTGTTAGATTCTCTTCAGGAATCCTTCTGGTAACAAAAAAGCCTAAGGCGAGAGGAGAAATCTTCTCAGTCCTGGAAATAGACTTTGTTGGAAACTGTTGACTCTGCTTGCCTTTCCAAGTATACCACAAAAAGTATGTCAATAGGGTTTCCCAGGAGTTTGAACCACGTTGGACAAACAAACAAGAGCAAACACTCTAATTCATTTAATATTAAGCAACAACACAAAGCAATTAAAATTTTGAGTCAGGTAATGAAAACAAAGAAAAAGGTGCATCTCAAAGCTTTATTCCTGTTGTTAGTATTTGGTTTCATGGCATTCTTACTTTGGATATGAGATTAAAGAAGGTTAAGAAGCCCAAAATAAGGGCTAAAAATAAATGATAATTATGCTAGTTTTGCATAAATAATCAAACTGACCATATTTGGGTATTCCAGGAATTTCAGTTTTTGTATTAACTAATTTTAGGTGCTTTGAATTCCTTTTGTTGTTTTCTTCTAATGGGCAGAAAATAAGTTGTGATTTTATTTTGTACTACACAAACTTCTATAAGGTGATATATAATAGGTGGATTAATTTTTTAAGCCTTAGCTTTTTTTAGTTGCCTAATAAGCAAAAAGATGTGACAGTTGTCACATCTTTAATATTAATATCAGATAGCAGGATATGTAAGTGTTGAGTTTATGTTAAATTTTCCATTTTCCTTAGTTTTAATAGAGAATATCTTGTAATTACTTTATTTACGTAGTAAAGCTATATATAATGTTTCATGCAAAGATGTACTTACATGCCATCGGGGTAGTCATTTTTTACCAAAATATTTCCCTCTTTCTGACTTAACACCCCTCCCCCAGTACATAATGAATAATGTTGGAATTAGGAAGGTTTCTGAATGCCAGAACCTGGATTAAATAATTTATATATTACCATGTTACTTTTTGTAGGGAACTGCACACAATCACATATCTATAGTGTATTAATTGTTATATTCTCTTCAGGAATCCTTCTGGTAACAAAACAAGACAAATCAGCTTTAAGGAAGAAAAGATATGTCATTGATATTGTGAAGAAATGTTAGAAACACAGCCTAGTTGTTAGTGTAGCATTTATAGCTGCTGACATTGACCAGTCTTGATTTATCTTAATGAACATACCTCATAAAGAAAATTATGAGCAAGTAATAGTTTTTCATAATTATAGTAAAATACAGTGGGGTTTTGTTTGTTTTTCTCTAGTTATGTTCATATCAGATAATGAAAGTTTTAATCCTTCATTGTGGGAGGAACAGAGAAAACAGCGGGCTCAAGTGGCATTTGAATGTGATGAAGACAAAGATGAAAGGGAAGCACCTCCTAGAGTGAGTCTATTCTTTTTTCCTTCAAATTTTGAACAGGTCTGCTGATATTTATTGGGTACTATATAGCTGATCTGTGCTATTTTGCCCTCAAGGCACTTGAAATTTTATTAATCCAATACATTTATCGTGTGAAAGTATTCGAGAACAATATAAAATTATGCGATTAAAAGCCAAATTTCATAGTGTGTATAAATATAAGAGAAAAACAGATTATTATTTCCCCCTTACCTTTCTTTAGTGATTTATTTATATATATTATAGGGATAAAGAACTCTTTGATATGAACATTTTGTTTCTTTGTTAGACTGTGTTGCAGTGATAGAAGTAGCAAATACACATTTCCTAGTTACTTATGGATGTAATTTTTTCCCCTTATATAATAAAACTAACTGAATCCCATAAAATGATAATTAGATTGACCTTAGAAGTGTGTGGTTCCCAGCACATGAGTCATAATAATCTAGGAATTTTATGTATGTTTGCATAAACATCTAGCTGGAAAACATATATCTGTTTCAAAGCCAAGAGGTGGTGTTGGCAATATCCACACCATATATTTCCAAATGGAATATATTTAAGTCTACTAAAAAAAAAAGCTTTTAAAACATTGAAATCTTTAACTGTGAAGTTTTCGATTATCGATAAAACCATACTTTTATTGAGTCTAAAATGCTTTCAAAGGCCTATCATCTGTCTTCACAGTTACCCCTATGAGCAATGTAATTAAGATGGATTATAGATTAAATTTTGAGATTGACATTAGAAATATTTATCTGTAGATAACTAATAAGGACCTACTGTATAGCACAGGAAACTCTAGTCAGTACCCTGTAATGGCCTATATGGGAAAAGAGGAATCTAAAAAAGAGTGGATATATGTGTATGTATAACTGATTCACTTTGTTGTACACCTGAAACTAACACAACATTGTAAATCAACTATACTCCAATAAAAATGTTTAAAAAAAGAAATATCTGTATTTTAAATTGTGCTTATTTTATTTCTCTAGGAGGGAAATTTAAAGAGATATCCAACACCATACCCAGATGAGCTTAAGAATATGGTTAAAACTGTTCAAACCATTGTACATAGATTAAAAGATGAAGAGACTAACGAAGACTCTGGAAAAGATTTGAAACCACATGAAGATCAGCAAGTTATAAATAATGATGTGGGTGTAAAGGTTAGAAAATTCAAAAGCATTGACCAAAACCTGTTTCAGGTTCTATTAAAATTTTTAAATGATAAATGATACAATGATCCTTTTTGTTTACAAGAAAATGTACTTCCAAACTTAGGGCAGTGTTCTCAAATACCTGAACTAAAAGCTTTACTAGTGAGCAAACTCCCTAATTGCTATTATTACCACTTCAGTGTGGTTACAGACTGTCCATATGGGCAGGGGAGTGTCAGCATAGCCTTTGAAAAATCATTGCCTGAACAAAGAATAAGGTAACAAATGTCAGAAAATTCATTCTTATAGAAATACTTTTTCCCCTGGTAATATTGATTCACTCCACCCAGTTTTAATTTTAAATGTAATTGCTCTGACAGACCATTGGCATTTCCTCAGGATGTTTCTGAAACATACACTAATCCCTAAATTGTGTGTTCTTTAATGGACTCCCCCCCTCCGGCCCTCCATTGTATCACAGAAACAGAAGTCACTAGAATTACTATGTATTCCACAATGAGCAGGAAAATAATCTAGCCATCCTGATTTTGAGCGTGCTGAGCTAAGTGACTCACTCATAAATACCAGCTCTGCAACTTCTAGGATGAGATGTAGCCTCAGCTAAATTGTAAAGTTTAATGTGGCTTGTGGACCTTTGGGACCACCTGTTCCCAAAATGAGCATTTTATCTGTGAGTCCTACAGATTTCCATGTTTAAAGTTTCTTCAGTTTTTCCAGAATAGGAAGATACTAAATTACTGTTAAAATTTCATCTGAACTTTAATACAAGAATAGATATAAAGAATGTGAATTCTTTATCTTTTCTTTTACTTAGACTTCAGAAAGTATTACTCCAGTAAGAAGCAAAGCTGATGAAAGAGAAAAGTATATGATAGGAAACTCTATACCGAAGACCAGTGAACCTGAAGCTGAGGTCAGTCCTGGGAATCTGCCAGTGACTGCAAATATGAAAGCCTCTGAGAACTTGAAGCATATTGTTAATCATGATGATGTTTTTGAGGTATGGCTTTATGATTATTCTGGAGTAGTGATAAATGGTAAGAATTTAATATTTCATTGTTGCTAACTGAAGATAGGAGAAACCTGATACTGATAGCAGAAAATATGCTAATGCATTTGCCATTGAGAAATCTCATAATATTTTCTATACCATTAATTTATCACTTTAAACATTGGAGTACAGTGGATATAAAATTTTTACTATGTAAATTATGTCTTTAAAAAATATTTATTTATTTTGGTTGCGCCGGTATTAGTTGTGGCATGCAAGATCTTTAGTTTTGGCATGCCGACTCCTTCTTAGTTGTGGCATGCAGGTGGGATCTAGTTCCCTGACCAAGGATTGAACCTGGGCCTCCTGCATTGGGAGTGCAGAGTCTAACCCACTGGACCACCAGGGAAGTCCCTACTATGTAAATCAGATTGTGGCAGTGTTGTTCTAAAACATAAAATTCATAACGGCAATTGCTTTTATTTCTGTAACTTAAAAATGTTACATATATACAATGGAATATTACTCAGCCATAAAAAGAAACGAAATTGAGTTATTTGTAGTAAGGTGGATGGACCTAGAGTCTGTCATACAGAGTGAAGTAAGTCAGAAAGAGAAAAACAAATATCGTATGCTAACACATATATATGGAATCTAAAGAAAAAAATTGCTTCTGAAGAAGCTAGGGGCAGGACAGGCATAAAGACACAGACGTAGAGAATAGACTTGAGGACACAGGGAGGGGGAAGGGTAAGCTGTGACAGTGAGAGAGTGGCATGGACATATATACACTACCAAACATAAAATAGATAGCTAGTGGGAGGTAGCCGCATAGCACAGGGAGATCAGCTCAGTGCTTTGTGACCACGTAGAGGGGTGGGATAGGGAGGGTGGGAGGAAGGGAGATGCAAGAGGGAAGAAATACGGGGACATATGTATATGTATAACTGATTCACTTTGTTATACAGCAGAAACTAACACACCATTGTTAATTATACTCCAATAAACATGTTGGGAAAAAAAAAGGAAAAGTTGCCGTAGGTGTACTTCAATTATTTGACTTCTTTAGGCATCTATCATTGCTTATGAAGTAATTTTTTTCTTAAATATCTGAGACTTTTTTTTTTTTTTTTTTTTTTTTTGCGGTATGCAGGCCTCTCACTGTTGTGGCCTCTCCCATTGCGGAGCCCAGGCTCCGGATGCACAGGCTCAGCGGCCATGGCTCACGGGCCTAGCCGCTCCGCGGCATGTGGGAGCTTCCTGGACAGGGGCACGAGCCCGTGTCCCCTGCATTGGCAGGCGGACTCTCACCACTGCGCCACCAGGGAAGCCCCTGAGACTTTTTTAAAAGAGATTCTTCCCATGGATCAATAAAAACTGTAACTTTTTTTGAAAAAACAGCTTTATTGAGATATGACTCATATATTGTACAATTCACTCATTTAAATAAAGGGTACAGTTCAGGGGTTTTTCAGTTTACTAAAAGTTGTGTAGCCCTCACCACAGTCACTTTTAGAACATTGTCATTACCCCAAAAGAAAGCCAGTACTTCTTAGTTGTCTCCCTACAACTTCTCCATCCCCCCAAGTTCTAGACAACTAGTAATATACTTTATCTGCATCTCTAGATTTGGCTGTCCTTGGCATTTCATGTAAATGTAATCATCTGATATGTGGTCTTTGCAACTGTTTCTTTCACTTAACATAATGTCAAGACTATTCATATTGTAGCATGAATCAGTACTTCATGCATTTTTTAATATCTGAATAATATTTCATTGTAATCATCCATTATGGACATCTGGGTTATTTCCACATTTTGGCTATAATGAATAAGGCTTCTTTGAATCTTTGTATACAAGTTTTTGTGTGGATATATATTTTCTTTTCTCTTGGGTATATACCTCAGTGTAGAATTGCTAGATTGTATGGTAACTTTATGTTTAACTGTTTGAGAAACTGCCACACAGTCTTCCAAAAGTGATTACACCATTTTATATTCCCTTCATACACTGCTGGAGATATTAAGTGCTACAGAAATTTAGAAAGGAGATATTTTCTGGCTACGAAGAACCGTGGATGCTTTAAGTGAAGGAAGCATTGAACCTGTGTTTTGAAGTGTTTCAATTAGCAGAAATAGGAGAATTGAATGAAATGGAAGGAATAATGAGAGCAAAAGCATGGTATTTAGAAATTGTAGAAAAGAGCATGTTCCATCTGACTGAATATGTCAGGGGTTATAGTATATGAATAAAATTAGTAAGGTAGGTTGGATCCTGATTCTGAAGCCCTAATACCTCTGCTAAGAAATTTGGACTTGATGTTCTACACTATAGTCTTCAGGGAGCCACTGAAGACTTATTAGCAGAATTATCTACATTAAACATAATCATTGGAGAAAATGCAATATCCAGGGAGAAAGAGTAAGAAAGGAAAGAATATGAGCTAACTGCAGGAAGATTAATTGAGATGAGCAAAGGAAGCAGAAAGGTGGGAGGAGACTTAGGAGACTACAGTTCCCAGAAGCCCAGGTATAATATAATTTCATGAAGGAGAAGGCCTGGTCAGCAGTTTAAATGCTGCAGATGTCAAAGATTGAGACAGACCTTGTCCTTTTATCTCATTCTTTGCATTCATTCTATCAATCAAGTCCTGTTAATTGCAAAATTTCTGTCGAATTCTTTTTTTCTTTACTATCCATCACTACCATTGCAGGACAGATGTAGTCTTTTTTTCTTCAGGACTATCAGTATAGGTAGTTTCCTTTCTGCCAGTCTCTTTTTCTTTTCATACATCTTTAATACCAGAGTTACTATTTTAAAAGAATCTGATCTTGTGAGTTCCTGGCTTGTCAACTTTCATTAATGACCAAAACATACTTAATTGAGTTCATACTCAGAGCATAACCTTTTACTATCCGTTCCAGTCTGCCTTTTCTGTCTCCTGCCACTTATCTTAAGTTCAGCTGCATGGAGCTGACTTGGCATACCTTTTCTTGTTTCCATGCTTTCCCCTACTCAGAATGTCATTTCCCTCTTAACTCACCCTTCAAGACTAAGTCCAATTTACATTCTCTCCCTAATCTACTTAGCAGTCTAACTCTGTTGTAGTGCAGTTTGGAACAGGGTTGGCAAACTATGGCCTGTGGCCCAAATCCAGCCCACTGCCTGTTTTTGTGTGGCTTGCAAGCTAAGAACAGCTTTTACATTATTGAATGGTTGAATAAAATTCAAAAGAGAAAGTGTATTTCGTGAAATGTGAAAAATTAGATGAAATTTAGTTTTACTGGCACCCAGCCATGGTAGTTTGTTTACTTATTGCCTGTGACTACTCTTGTGCCACAGCAGCAGAATTGGTTGGTTGAAACAAGAGACTGTATGGCTTTCAAAGTGTAAAATATTTACTCTCTGGCCTTTTTACTGAAACAGTCTTCTGACTCCAGTCCATGACTTATTATGGCACTCTTAAAGCATCTAGAAATCTTAGTATTTTTAATAGAGCACCCTTTTAAGAGCTTTTATTTATTTTCACCATATTAACTAGGAATAATTTAACCTGTAGTAGATCTGATTTTATATATACTATATACAGTGTTAAAATTTTTCTATTAATATTTGTTGACGACAAGGTCTTTTTTGTGTGCTAACAGCACTCAATGGTAGATAGTCTGGGACAGTCTACCATTGGAACCCAGTGATCCTTGAGGGAATAAATTTGAGGGTTAGGAATAGACTTTTTGTTAGAGTCCCTTCACTAAACTTGAGTTTTTCGATGGCAGGGATTGTGTTTTACTCATTTTTGTTTCTCTGGAACTTGACATATTACCAGTACATACCAGTCATTAATACAGTTGGATTAAGGACTGCATAGAAAATTATACCTTAGGCACTTTGGTGTACTGTTAATAATTTCCATAGTTTTACAGCCATGTCTTGAAAAATTTAAGTCATATACTAGTTTTATTCACTATTACCTTAAAAAGGTTTTTTTTACCTGTTCTAAGTATTTGTTTCTCTTTGAAGTTCTTACAACTTAATATTTAAAGAAACCAAAATATATTTTTGTAAATATTTTCTCTCTTTTTTCTTTAAATTAGGAATCTGAAGAACTTTCTTCTGATGAAGAGATGAAAATGGCAGAGATGCGACCACCACTAATTGAAACCTCTATTAACCAGCCCAAAGTGGTAGCACTTAGTAATAACAAAAAAGGTTAGGTGTTAAAGGAAAGCACTAAGAATAGAAATGGGCTGAATAAGTTTATACATTTTTTCAAATAAATTTCACTAAATGTCATGTTATTTAAAACACTTCTTAGAAACAGTTTTTGAAACATGCCTTTCTAAAAGGTCTATTCCTTACCTCTCGTTTTTAAAGAAAAATCTTGATGGATCTTTTCTCTTCCCTCATTTGTGCAAGTTTACTTACATGTCATAGATTTTATAGGCAAATAAGCCTAGATTATGATTCCATCTCTACCACTCATTTGCTGTATGATCTTTGTGCTCCTTAATTTTGTGTGTGTATATATTAGACATACAATAAGGCTAATGAAGGGTTTTGTGACTCTCAAATATATCGGATTAGTGCCCTCAGACCTAGCATAGTACCTGATGTATAACAGATGCTGCTTGTTACTTTATCTCTCCCAGTACTTCTTTTTAACATCCCCACCCCCACCCCCACCTGACACAGAATCTCAGACTCTTGGAAAGGAAAGAAAACTTGAAGAGTCTCTATCCCTTCCTTTTATCCTTCCCTCACTCCTCTCCACCAAATGTCTGAACAACTCTACATTATCTCCACCAGAGGTTTATCCAGCCTTTACCTTTATGGTATTAATGAAACTTACTATCAAGGTGGCCATTTGGAGGATAGCTTGGGGTTTCATAATAATAATGGTACTGATATTTGTTACTAATTGTTAATTACTATGCTAAATAGTATACATGTTATTATCTAATTGTCACAATTGCCCCATGATAAGGAGGTAGAAAAGAAGAATGTGTCTAGGAGAGAACTTAAGTGCCATATAGTTTAGCAGTATTTTATTTATTTATTTTTTTGTGGTACACGGGCCTCTCACCGCTGTGGACTCTCCCGTCACGGAGCACAGGCTCTGGACGCGCAGGCTCAGCGGCCATGGCTTAGGGGCCCAGCCGCTCCACGGCATGTGGGATCTTCCCGGACCGGGGCACGAACCCATGTCCCCTGCATCGGCAGGCGGACTCTCAACCAGTGCGCCACCAGGGAAGCCCAGTTTAACAGTATTTTAAAAATTCAGAATCCAGAACCCAAATACCTTAAAGTTGAAGTTACAGAGCCCCGTGTGCTACTGTTTTCAACTGTAAACACAATCCAGGCTACTTGAACTGAGATATTTGGAACAGCAAAAAATTCATATAATCACCTATGACTACATGTCTGTATGTACTATTTCTATGATTTGGCTATAATTGAGTTAGTTAAAAACAGCCTTGAGGGTTGTAAAGATACGAAGTTATTATCTTTTTATTACTACTTTAAAAAAATAGTACTTTTTATACTACCTGACTATAATGGAATATAAATATTGTCTATTTCTGTTTATATAGTTGTTACAAATCCATCTCACATATTGAGAGTTCACTATTCATATACAGTTCTTTGAAATGATTTTAAAAAGTGGAAAGCTGACCTTGTGACAATTTTTGGATTTGTTTGGTGTTTTTTGGTTGATTGTGCTGCTCATTTTTATTATCAGAATAGATGAAAACAATTCCATACATGTATGAAATAATTTCTACCCCAGAAAAGTTTACCAAGGTTATGAACTGTACTATGTATTTCTTACTATTACGACTTTTTAAAACTAAAGATGTGTGGAAAAGCATATTCACTAAAACTAATTGATGGCCTTAAACATTGTGTGGTATCATCTTGTCAGTAGTTTAAATCAAATTCTGGGTAACTAACATTGGTCATATTTTTTTAAAAAAACTATAGGTATCACTAAAAACAAACTAACTGAAGGTATCACTATTTTTAAATTCTTTAATCTTTTTATGTATTAGGACTGAGTTTTCAGAGGTGAGCCTCTGGTTATCTTCTTAACCATATAATTCTTTACCTTATATATTGAACCAGGACAATATAAATGCCACTTGTCATCACTGGAAATTCTTCTTGGCTTTATCAATAGCTTAAGGTTTTTTTTGTTTCAGATGATACAAAGGATACAGATTCTTTATCAGATGAAGTTACACACAATAGCAATCAGAATAACAGCAACTGTTCTTCTCCATCTCGGATGTCTGATTCAGTTTCTCTTAATACTGATAGTAGTCAAGATACCTCACTCTGCTCTCCAGTGAAACAAACTCACATTGGTATTAATTCCAAAATCAGGTTTGTGAACATCTTAACAAAATGATTTATTTGTACAATAAATAGAAGTGGTAAGGCAAGTAAATATATATTATTAAAACATAAAAGATTTTACAAATTAATATTATAGAAATGGTTCAGGCAGTATATGGTTTCTTCCCCACTTTACTACTAATTATTTAGCTTTTACACATTTCCATTTTAAATCAATCTTTTAAATGGGGGAGAAAAGATTTAAAACATATTCTAATTCTCTTCATTAAAAGGTTGAACAGTTTTATAATATTTCTAGGTATTACAACATAAAGAGCCTGTTTGGAATAATTCAAATTTATTAAAAGGGGTATTTTTAGAGTTAGAAATGCAGAGTCACTTTGGGGGTTATCATTAAAGGGTTCAATGAGATGTTTCTGATTAGCGCTGTATTTTTGGTTTAGAGTTAAATTTGTAGGTCAAACTCACTGAAACAAGATTTACTTCCTACAGGCTTGAATTTGGGTGAATTTTAAAACAAATTTATTATTAGCGTTCTCAAGAAGTTTTGTTATCAAAGTGAGACTTTACCATTTTACTTTCATGTTATTGTATCAGCTAGAGTGCTTAATAGAAAGATTTGGGTTACAACTGAATCTAAAGCTTGTTGTATGGATATTGTTAACTAACTTGTGGAGTTAAATAGTTATTAAATTCCAGGCATATTTAAGACAAATTTTTCTATGTATTGATTTGCATTGCTTTAAAAGAAAGATGAATTTTATGTCTCAAATTGAGCTTAACTATTATGTAGTTGTAGTTATGATTAATCATTTATATCCTCTGAATTTGAGGCTAAGATCAGTATGGTAAAATATTAATTTTAAAACCTCTTAGAGGTTAAGATAATGATTAATTTGTCAAATAGTAAAATTTTACTGATATTGTTGGGAAGTAGTTGAGTCTGAGTCATGTTTTTTGTAATGAAATAAAGGCTAAGAAAGGGATATAGCCACACCTTTTTTGTTGTGTTTCTAGTAATATTTTTTGTTACCTAATGGGAAGATCAGTATTAAAGAATTTGTTGAAACGTAACTTGAATATTTACAAAGAGGACACAAATATGTTTTCATATCACCAAATAGAAATAAAATATCTTCTATAATTTTGGAATGGTACATTTTATAAATATTTGCCAAATACAGTGTAGTCACAGAAAAATGATTAGATTTAGTTTCTCTTTTGAGCTTTCTTCATATTTTGTAGATCTTTGAGTGATTGTTTAGTTCTTTGTATAACTTCCTTATATATATTTGAATCTAATAATACCTACTTAGTTAATATGATTAACTGATCGATAATGTGAGGCTTCAGAATTATTTGTAAAAATATTCTGTACTTTTTACTTAACTATTCAACTTACTGGCCTTTCCTCCATGTATGTGCCCATCTTTCAAGCATTTCTTGTTTTAACACAGTCATGAAAAGATGCAGCAGTAGAAGAGAATTATTTCATTACATAATCACACTTTTCTTCATTGTTTAGCTCTATTAAACTATTGTGATAGATGATGAAAATTAATCTTATCTATGAATTTTAATTAGTATGCTTTACCTTATCTCCATTTAATATAAATCTATATTATTTGACTGTTACAATAATATTTTTAAATTACATGCTTGATAATAAATGCCTTTTATCTGTAACTCCCATCAATGCTCTTATCTTTATGTACCTTCACTTTAATTAATTAGTTGTTAATGTTCCCCATTACTAAGAAAACTGGGCTTTATGATGTTTGTGATAAAATTTTCTTTGTTTTAGGCAAGAAGATGAAAATTTTAACAGCCTTTTACAAAATGGAGATATTTTAAATCATTCAACAGAGGAAAAAACCGAGGTTCCTGATAAAAAAGATTTTAACTTACCTGAATATGATTTGAATATTGAAGAGCGATTAGTTCTTATTGAAAAAGGTGTTGACTCAACAGCCACATCTGATGAATCTCACAAATTAGACCATATCAATATGAATCTTAATAAACTTGTAACTAATGATACATTTCAACCAGAGATAGTGGAAAGATCAAAGACAGAGGATACAGTGCTTGAAACAGGCCTTTTAAGCAATAATGCTAAAGGAGAGGCTGAGCACTTGGATAATGGAAACAAGTATCCTACTCTTGAATGCATAAATAAGGTAAATGGACGTTCTGAGGGAACTCCACAGTCTCCTAGGAGGACTGAACCACATGACACCAGTTCTTCTGTTGATGCAGGTCTTTCCAAAAGCACTGAAGATCTCTCCCCTCAGAGAAGTGGGCCAATTGGATCTGTTGTTAAATCTCATAGCATAACTAATATGGAGACTGGCGGGCTAAAAATCTATGACATACTTAGTGATAATGGACCTCAGCAGCCAAGTGCAACAGTTAAAGTAACATCTACTATTGATGGAAAAAACATAGTCAGGAGCAAGTCAGCTACGCTTTTGTATGATCAACCATTGCAAGTATTTACTGGTTCTTCTTCATCTTCTGATTTAATAGCAGGTACAAAGGCAGTTTTCAAGTTTGATTCAAATTATAATCCTGAAGAACCAAATATAATAAGAGGCCCTACAACAAGTGGCCCACAGTCCACGCCTCAAATATATGGTCCTCCACAGTATAATATCCAGTATAGTAGCAGTGCTACAGTCAAGGACACTTTGTGGCACTCCAAACAAAATCCCCAAGTAGACCATGTCAGTTTTCCTCCGCAGCGCTTTCCTAGATCAGAGAGTACAGAAAATCACAGTTATGCTAAACATTCTGCCAATATGAATTTCTCTAATCATAACAATGTTCGAGCTAATACTGGATACCATTTACATCAGAGACTTGGTCCAGGAAGACATGGGGAAATGTGGGCCATCTCACCAAATGACCGACTCATTCCTGGAGCATCGCGAACTACGATTCAGCGACAGAGTAGTGTGTCCTCTACAGCCTCTGTAAATCTTGGTGAACCAGGTGCCACGAGGCGGGCCCAAGTTCCTGAAGGAGATTATTTATCATACAGAGAGTTACATTCAGTGGGAAGAACTCCTCCAGTAATATCAGGATCACAGAGACCTCTTTCTGCACGAACATACAGCATTGATGGTCCAAATGCATCAAGGCCTCAGAGTGCTCGACCCTCTGTTAGTGAAATACCAGAGAGAACTATGTCAGTTAGTGATTTCAGTTATTCACGGACTAGTCCTTCAAAAAGACCAAATGCAAGGGTTGGTTCTGAACATTCATTATTAGATCCTCCAGGAAAAAGTAAAGTTCCTCATGATTGGCGAGAACAAGTACTACGACACATTGAGGCCAAAAAGTTAGAAAAGGTAATTAAACATGAATTTTTCATTCTCCTATTTATGAATTTACTAATTTTCCTTTAAAATATTTGGCAGTCTTTGTTGATGAAACAAGATACTCTGAATTATTGAACATATACCTATATTCTAGAAGTTTTTTCTTGGTAATGAGATTAGAGGTCCAAGTTTAGACTTAGCCAGTCTCAAAACAGTTGAGATGTTAATATAAACTTCTTTCCCTTCTCTTACTCCTTAGTGTTTTCTAATGGGCTTACCTTCATTTTATATATTTAGGTGTGTATCTCGTTTAGATTGTGTCATACTGCAAATAATACACATATATACATGTTTACCTCTGTTATTTTCTGGCTTCCTGCTCTCGTCTATTAATAATTAATTATGTAAATGTTTACAGAAATAGCAATTTACCATATAGTTAACAGAATAACAAGAAATGGATTGTAAATGTGTATCTTTCACCTAAGATTTTTTTCCCCAGTTCATGTTGTATGACTAACACTGTCACTGACTCAGATGGCTTCTGGCATGGCATTTACTCTTGACTTTCCTGAATTGCATTTCTGACCTATTTGAACTCAGGTGACTGTGGCTCTAGTGTAGTGTAATGTAGTTTGGAAATAAGCTCATGTTCAGTTTATAACCTTATGTATAGATATTCCTTTTTTGAGAGAGAAATTTTTTAAAAATTATGCTTAAAACTGATACTTTGGAGCAGTTCCGTGGCCCAAGTATATAAGGCATATTCGTTCTTCAAGATTTAGCTTCATATCTCTTAGTGGATTTTACCCAAGGATTATTTTAACTTTGTTTATTGATATAAGATACTTTTAAAAACAGCTGAATGTATACAACCTCAATTAATCGTTACTTTTTAAAATTCTTTAAGTTTTTCAGAAATCAGTGTCTAAAATGTGATTAATACCTTATGTCAATTCACATTGAACCTCTGTCTGTAATTGTTAGCTCTTTTTAATTCTGTTCTTAGCTTTAAGTAGCTGAGCATCTATAGCATTAGGAGACTTCATTGTCAGCTCTCCATTTTGTTTTGGCTGTAATTCTCTACATACTGTTGAGGCTCTTTAAATTTGTGTGTCTTATCTATGGAATTTGGAGAATTCTTAAGCAAAGGGTAACATAACTTTTATAAATAAACTTCTGGTGATGGTGTGGAACTGGATTTGAGGAGGAAGAGGCTATAGTCAAATTGATTGAGTTATGAGGCTGTCTAATGGTCCAGAAAATAAATGGAATGAAAAATATATCAGTGGAATTGAGGCAAAGGAACAAATTCAAGAGGCAGTTCTGAAATAGATTATAAGAGTTTACTTCTGATGGGAATATTCCTGTAATCATTCATTGAGGAAAAGGGATTAAGCTTGAGATTGGTACCTTGAATAACTGGTTTTTGGGACTGCTGTTAACTGGATATTGAAGAGGAATAGCAGGTTTGGAGGAAGAGATGAGTTTGGTAATCATTATATTTTTAGTTGGCATCTCAGATGGCTATTCTCTACTACTTTCCTGTCTGACACAGACACACCTGGACTTTAGTAAATAGGAAGCAAGTAGCAGCCATCTCATTGTTCACTGTATCTCTCTAAATTCTAAACCTCATGTTTAGAATTTACCGTATGATTGCTTAGAGAATGCATGACAGTAGTTTCCCTTTTGTGCTCACTGGTAATTTATAGGTGAGAATCAATTCAGTGAAATTAGGAAAAGCCTTTTGAGGACACAGGGCAACAAGATTTAGACTGTGATGGAAGATCTCTATTTGCTCCTCTGCATCTCCTCCTCTCTCCCTTAAACATTATTCTAATGGCGTGGTAGACATTTGAAAATTTTCCTCAGGGGATTTCACAATGCCTGCCCTACCTCTAGAGGAAAAGTTGCTACTTTGCCCACCTGAGGAGTTTAGTAGTAACACAGAAAGAGATAAGTTATTGAAGCTTACTTGGTTTTTTTTAACCTTGTAGTAGTAACCCCTCCTTCCCAACCGCTGTGGCAAACTGTACCTGGAACACAAATGTATAAAATAAATCCCACCTCAGAAATCTCAAGACTTATTTAATTAAACTAATCAACAGAGATTGAAAAGGAATAAAAATTTATTTCAAAATTAAAATTATTTCTAATATCAGCATTTGCCAGTATTCCTTATTAAAAACTGATAAGCACTCAACCAGAATATGATTAACAAAACATGATGATTTCCATGTTCACTTGCTATTATACAGCTATTAGCATGTAGTGAAAAACAGTGCCCAGGACGTTTGCCCAGCACTTAATTGAGCTTTGCACAATGTGTTGATGTGTTGTGACAGAGTGCAGTTTTATGTGGCTGTCTCTGTACAAGCCTGAATTCAAAGTCAGACCTATTCCAAACTTTAGCCTTCTTAATCAGTGAAATATTTACAAAAACCTCATGTATATTCAAAGATGACAGCAAAGGCTTTGTTCCAAGATCAACATATTATTAAAAAGGGTCAATCAGACCACTCAAGTTGACACATTAAAATTGTGTGTAACACGTGAGGGTGTGTTGTTGAAATGTTTCTCTGTGTGTGTGGTTATGTGTATAATTTATTTTTACATTCTAATCAGGTGTTTGGGGAACCTCTGAACTGCCTCTGCCGAATTCTTATTCTTTGTGAGATGGTTTGGGAAAATACAGGCCTGGCCTGTTAAATTCAGCTTTTTCTTTAGTCTTTACTTCAGAATCCACAAAATAACTAAACATGTACATTGTAATTTTAGATTCTTTTCATTCTGGAATGTCATGTTAATGTTTCTTGCTATTAGAGATCAACTTCATTATCTGGAGAAAATCTGTATTTTCTAAGAGTAATACAGAAATGCTTATTATATATGTCATAACATATATATAAATGCTTGTTGTAAATGTCATAACAAGTATTTGTGGATTTGTGCATTTCTTACTAATAAGTCATGCCTAAAATATGGTTTCTCTCGGTTTGACCCTCAGACCCTTAAAGTTTAGGGACATGACTAAAAGCATCCACATGTGAAAGAACAGTAGTTAACTCTGGGAATAAACAAGCAGGAACAATGAGAATCAGGCAGTGCTTTTATTTAAGTACATTTCTCAGGCAGCTCTGGGATTGGCAGTTAGGCATTTATAGTAAACTCAGTCGTGGAAGGATTCCATCAGTGAAACTTGAAGGGTTCTTCAAGTTTAAGCAGCAAAGCCACTACTAACTACTAAAATATAATAATCTTTAATATCTATCTATTTGAATGGGAAAAAAAGTTTTACATGTGCATTTTCTAGATTTATTGAAATTTTTTTCCTGGTAATTGTAAAGCAGTAGGAGCCTTTTAAATGTTATATCCTAAAACTCTGTGTGTATGTTAAACTTTTCTCTGATGTTAAGACATTTTTCTAAATGTGGAAGATAATTTTTATTAGAAATTGCAATAGCCAAGAGCCAGGTATTTTTTTTTGCAAATATATTTTGTGCTGTATTATGTATGTCTAAACTCTCCATTTACTTAATAAGACAGAATTAATTTCTATAAAATGAAGCAGACTCTCTAGAAACCCATTTTGACTTAGAAATAACTGTTGGTAAAGTTTGTCTTTATAAAGAAATTAGTTTGTGTTCTGTGTGTAACTATATACGTACAGATATATCTGGGTATAACATCAATTCCTATCTTCCGACAACCTTCTAATAAGGTATGTTAGGAGTAAAAGAAATAATCGCATTATAAAAGCAGCTGTGTGTTTGCACTTTCTTTTTTGGTGTTTAAACATGTGAATGTTTGGGTTTACATATAATTTATGTGTGTACATGTATGTTTTCATGTAAATATATGGTAAATAGTGCCAATTTCTTTCAGTGGCACTGAAAATTCAGTGTTGCCTGATATTTCTGCGTGGTATTGGGGTTACTTGTATATATGTCTATGTACATAACATGTCTTGTGAATTTTGCATGCTACACTAATCTCTGTTAAATCTATCCCCTCTTTATTCAGAGCATGCTGTCAAGGTCCTTTAATTCCAATTTTACTGCTGTAAGCCACTTTCACTATGGCAGCTCTAGGGATCTGCATGGCAGCCAAGGCAGTCTTGCCTTGAGTATTGCAGACGGAAGAGATTCTGGTGGGCACATTTTTCGAGTGAGTACCTGTAGTAGATCAGTACCTTTAGTACATAGAAGAGGAAGAAACCCCACATTTTGATGTTTTAACAATTCTAGAAAATAAATTTGTGCTGTGGGTTAAATATCTTGTTTACCTCTCAGTTCTTCCATGGCTTAGTTCTAAAAGTCTGCAAAGCTGATTTAGTTTTTATCTCTTACGTTTCTGTGGTCATAACTAAGGATGTAGTCAGCTCTTATATAAAAAGGGGTGAGCGATAGGAATCTAAGAAGTTTTTTAAAAAATTATTTTTCTTCACAGTGCTTTCTCTTAAAATTAGCTTCCTCTCCCTAACTCAAGGTTTTAAGGCTGTGCCATGTGTAATACACAGCGGGGTTGTGGGAAAGAATAATTTTCACTTTAGTGATTAAGGGTTGGCAAATAAATACTTGGAACTAAGTTTAATCCTAATTTGCAGCATATGATTAAATGTGAGCCTGGAGAAATTGCATTAAGTACCAGTGAAAAGACAAAACCCAAATCCTTTATTACCCACGTAATTGTTAGTGGGGAAGAAGAAAGGTTTATTCTTTTAATGAAAGTTAAGGGTAGGGGATAAGAATGACAGAAACGGAGAAAGAACAGAACAACTCCGCGTGGCTGTTTTAAGATTTTTCTTTCTGTGACAACTTGAGGTGGTAGCATGGCCTCTAAGTAAATGTTTCCTCTGCCCCTCTTCCTCCATCCTGAAAAGACCTTTCTCCCGTTGTAAAGCCGCATTCTCTCCCCCATAATTTTATTTCCATAGTGACCCTGCTTCTGGGTCCTTTGCTTTTTCCTGAATGTCTCCTTCCCCACCACCCCCAATCTCCTACTACTTTTTAATATACTCCTGGCTTAACTCTGTTGTATTCTAGGATAGGAGCAGTATCCTCGATTCACTTTGTTCTGGCAGGGCCTCACCCATCTTGCTCTGCCTTCTGTCACCTGCCACCACCTGGTTTCTGTGTTACATAATAGTGGCAACAATCGTTTTGTAACTTAACAGTTTGAAACAGAGAGGAGATGATGGCAAGTAAGCCCTGCATTTCTGGCACTCATTCCAGCTGAAGCCATGGGGTAAAGACTGGGGGCTTTTATTAACTCAGGGATAATCGTTACAGTCATGTGGAACAATTGTTCTTTACAAATTCTTGAACAGTAATATCTTTTGCTTGTTTTTATTCAAGTCAGAGTCTTTGAGTCTGTTGCATTTATTAACTTTTTCATCCATAATGCACTTGTTCATTTAAAGACATAGTCGTACATTCACGCTTGAGTTTAAACTTCAAGCTGTGAGCTGAGTTGATTATTACACATTCTGAAAGCGCATCTCAAAAATGGAAAAGGAAAATAAAGTAATAAAGTATTCATTGTATAAATAAACAAAATTAGATCAAACTACATCTAAAAATGCTAAGCCATGGTTTGAACTAGCAACAAACTGCACATGATAGCTTTGTTGCAGATATGGTTCCTAAGACTAAATTATAAACCCTTAGATTTACATGTATCCTATGACATATCATAATGAACTGGATTTCAGATTATTTTTCAACATGATGATGTAGTTTGTGTATATGTGTTGCCAGCCATACACTGTTTTGAAGATAACAGTACTGCTATTTATCACAGTCTCTGTAGTTTTCTAAAATATAGCTAGGTGTGTTTAGAACTAAATTAAGATGAAAAATAAGCATCTTGCTTCCCAGCATATTTATAAGAAATATTCAGAGATAATGAGATATTGAGTCTGTTTTTTCTCTAAAGGTATCAGTGAGATAAACTATAATGTAAGGATGTTATTTGATATATAAAAATATGAACTCTAATAAAATTTAAAAGCATTTCATCAGAGCAGTGCTTTTGAAAATACTGAGCTAATATTAGTGTGATACAATTAGGCTAAAGCAAGTTTTATAAGACTGTATGTTTATTGATATTGCTCATCATTAATAAGGAAATCCTGGGTGATACTGTGCTGTTAAAAAAAAAACAGTTAATTTTTTTACCAAAAAACTTTTTGCTGTGCTCAACAGGAGCACATATATTTTAGTTTCTCTTAAAATTTGGGACTCTTAACTTGGATTAATAACTAAATTTATTGCTCGAAGTGTTAAAAGCTAGGTATTACTGTAAATAAAGCTAAAAGTATTATAAAGGAATATCTTAACAGTATATGTTCATATGTACTTTTCACACATTATAAGAACAAACATTTTGCCATGTAACTTTGAAAGACTGTTAAAGGTACTAATATTTTTTCCAGTTTTATTGCAATATAACTGATATATAACATTATATTAGTTCAAGGTATACATACTGATGGTTTGATATATGTATGTATCACAAAGTGATTACCACAATAATAAATAAATAAATCTAGTTAATACCCATTATAAAGGTGCTAATGTCGATGGTAGTTATGATGGTAATGTTTGATTTGGTTCTTCATCTTTCCATTGTCTAACAGTATCTCCTCTCAAGTGTCATCATCATTTTGGTTTCACATCTTAAAGATCATTATTTGTTTATTTTTTATTTCCCCCTCATTTGAAGCATCCCCAGACATCCTGTGCAGGAGATCCTTGTCAAGATGATATATTCATTTCAGGACAGCAGAACTACCCAGCAGCTACACTTAGTCACAAAGATGTTCTTCCAGACAGCTTGATGAAAGTAGGTGCTCAGGGAATGAAGTAGTATCTGTGAGCTTATTGTGTTTTACAGCTTTTGAACTAAGAAATATCATATATGCTTTAACGCTGAAAATGCTTTTTTGAGGACCTTCACCTCTTGATTAGTAAGGGTTTTTTTAAATAATTGAGAAATATGAAATAAAATTTCACTCTGCTATTTCTTAGTTTATTCCATGATTTCTTCCACACTGAAGAATCATTTTGTTATCTTTGGATTTCTGTAGTATCTCCTACTTTTTGGCATTC